TGCAAACCCAGTTCCTACACTGTTGGGTGATGCTTATTACTCTGTTTATCTTCGGAGTTCTTATCATGGGGGAATGATTATCTGTTGCACGCCTTTTTTGTATCGGTGGTTCATCTCTCATATGCCTCAGTCTGATGCTTTTTGGGATGTCAAGAAGGAACCTCGTTGGGCTCCTAAGATCATGGCACTTACTCACTCAGACATTGATTGGTATCATCGAGCTTATCAGGATGTGGAGATTATTGACAATTGTGGTAGTTTCCCCAATGTACATTTTCTTGGTACAAAGGGAGGAAATAACTATAACCCTGTTCTTGCGCGGCGACAACTTGGTTATCCGATGAGAGGTAAGCCGAACAGTATTCATTTGAGTAGTTTCTTTCTGAAGGAATGAGAAGACCACAAGGAAGCTAGGGAGAAGATTGTGAAGGCCTGGCATCACATTCATAAGAAAAGTAGGAAGGATTTGGGACCTGGGGTGCTGTTTCTTTGGAGCCATATCTTCAGTGGGTCCGATCGAGAGCCATCCAGTTGAAGATGTCGTATACTCAAGAGACACCCATGCCTGATTTGTTTATGAAGACCACTCCTCCTTTATTAGATGATCTAGAAGAGTTGCAACTTGCTTTAGTTAGGATGCAACAAGAAAGATATGCTTGGAAGAACAAGTTCCATACTTTAGAGAGTTCCTACAAAGCAGACTTGAAGGAGAAAGATGATTTGATTGAGATCCTTGAGAGTCGAGCAGTAGAGTCTATAGAGAGGCAAGGGGATTTATTTTCTCCTAAGCCTCAAACAGGTGTTGATTACTCACTTCCTGCTTCAGATGATTGAAAGGAGGTTGCCATTAAACATGTGGAAGAAAACCAGAGGTTGAGAGCTCAGATTGCCAGGCTCACAGGGAAGCACCAACGTACAAATTGAGCTCTATCAGTTTCTTTCTCTTAGGATTTTTAGATTTTATTTTCATCTTGTACTTGGGATCATTGAAACTTGTAACCCATTTTGAAGTTATTATAATAAAAGTTTTCAGTATTTCAAATGCGTTCTTATTTTGATGTTTGCAATATGTCTATAAACGTTAAATCCCTTGAAATATTAAATGATAAAGTAAAAATAATAATGTGCATTACATGTCATGCATCACGTTGCACATATTTTTTGCATTTACTGTGCATATCCAGGTGCCTTACCCAGATTTTTACTTCATTCAGCAAGCTGACTCATCACTACAGCACTCGGGCTAACTTCAAAAAGAAGATGGACAACTTGGAACAGGAAAATCACGAGCTACGCAAAGAAGTTTCTGCTTTGAAGGATGGCTTGGCCAATTTGACTACTCTGATGGAAGCTCTGGTGGTTGCTCAAAATCATCCACTGAGTGTTCAACCTCAACCAACAAGGGCAAATGTTAAAGTTCCTGCTGTTCCGGTATCTGCTACTCTGACTATTGTTCAAAACCGTATGCCTCAGGGTTATCCGTGGGGAATGCCGGAGAATTTAGCACTTGAAGGTTTCAATTTGGGCCCCTCCAGTGGTTCCAAATGCTGTTACTCCAGCACCTCATGTAGTGCATATTGTTCCTGCTGCACCTCCTTCGGTGAATTTGGTTTCGATTGTTAATGAAGATCTGTGACGTCCTTTCCCTCCGCCGAGTGAAGACTTGGGTCTTTATGACAGAATGGATGATTTCCAAGAGCAGTTTGATAGAATGCAAAGAGAGATGAAGGCTCTTAGGAGAAAAGAGTTATTTGGGCAAAATGTGAATGAGCTGTGTTTGGTCCTGAATGTTAAAGTGCCTGCTAAGTTCAAGGTCTCGGAGTTTGAGAAGTACAAGGGAAACACTTGCCCTCGTGTTCACTTGGTGATGTATGTAAGGAGAATGTCTACCCACACCGATGATCAGCGTTTGCTTATTCACTTTTTCCAGGATAGTCTGACCGGCGCAACGATGAAATGGTAAATGAGTTTAGACAGCACCAACATCCACACCTTTAATGATTTGGGAGAAGAATTTATAAAAAAATACAAGTACAATGAGGACATGGCGCCTGATTGTGACCATCTTATTGCCATGGTTCAAAAAGATAAAGAATCGTTCAAAGAGTACGCGCATAGATGGCGCGAAGTGGCTTCACAAGTGATTCCTCCCATGGAGGAGAAGGAAATGACTAAAAAATTTCTGAAGAATTTAAGCGCTTTCTACTACGAAAGAATGGTAGCAAGTGCCCCAAGTGATTTTACAGAGATGGTAGGAATGGGTGTCCGCCTAGAAGAGGCGGTAAGAGAAGGCCGTTTGACAAAGGGTGAAGGATCCGGAGGTGTGAAAAAGCCAGCTTATGGGTTTACAAAGAAGAAAGAGGGGGATACCAATGCTGTCATACAAGAGAGGAGGGTGAACGCTCCTAGAAGGAATTATCAGTGTCACCAGCAAGTTGCCTCAGTTACTCCTGTTATGAATGTCACTCTGACTACCGTTGCTTATCAAAGACAGTCCCAGTAGGGGAACCAAGGGAATAATCATAGAAGGGAGAACTATGACCCTATCCCCATGAGTTATGTAGAGCTACTACCAGCATTGATCCAGAAGAAGTTGGTCCAGACATGACCACCTCCAGCAATACCATTTCCATTGCCTTGGTATTACAAAGCAGACCAGACATGTGCCTTTCATCAGGGAGCACCAGGGCATAGTGTTGAAAATTGTTATCCTTTGAAGACTGAAGTGCAAAGGTTGGTGAAGTCTGGAATTTTATCTTTCAAAGACATGGGACCTAATGTGAAAGACAATCCTCTGCCCAAACACGGGGGAGTGAGTGCTGTGAATATGGTGGTCGGTTGTCCAGGTCACTTCCGGATTTTTGACATTAATCTGGTTAGAGGGGATTTGGTGAAAATGCATGCAGACCTCTGTGAATTCAGTTATTATATGCATGACCATGCCGGTTGTGCTATTTGCAGTACAAACATACAAGGTTGCTGTCATACCCCAATTTTTGACCTAAGATCCCATTTTTATTTTTTATTTTGAATTTTTGTACAAAAGTCAAGGTCACTAAATACAGTCGGTTTTAACCCTTCACCTTCGAGCATTGACTATGCAGAAATTGTCAAATATTTTGAACATTCTTAGCCTATGTATCACTAACTTCTAATCAAGCACGAAGTGTGTGTTTTTTGCTTCTTTGATTTCATTTGTAGGAAACAGATCTGAATCAAGAGCATCAGGCGTCATGCCTCGATTAGGGTTCAGAATCTCTCAAGCCAGAAGTACAGTTGATCGTTGATTCTTGAAGATTGATTCATCAGGGGAATCATGTGTTTATTTCCACGCCTTGTTCGACAGGTGGTCTCAAGCTTCTCCAAAAATCCCCCAAAAGCACAATCAAGATTTCATCATCACTGGTTTACATGTGTATCAAGATGCTTTAGAATGCGAAGAAAGATCAAGTTTGCAAGTCGATTCAAAGCATTTCGACCAAAAGTCAACTCCTGCAAGTTCAATTTCAAACGGTCATAACTTCTTCAATTTTCAATGTCTTGAGGCGATTCTTTTGCAAAGTATCACAAATAGCGTTGTTTATGAGATTACTTCAAAGATTAAGGCGCAAGTCATGCCACAGACGTTTTCTCAAGAACGTTTGATTTTCCTGTTGGGATAATTCATGAAACTGGAGTTTTAGTCCAATGATTCTTTGATGATTGTGGACTACTTCAAGTCATTTTGCAATTGAACAGTAGCGATCATTGGATTAAGGTGGATTGTCGATTAAATTTCTTAAAGGCACGATTTACGCTATTGGTCTGTATTGTAAATTACTATGAGGTGAAGACGCGAATTAGGGTTGAGAATTATTTGAATTCTTGTGGTTTGCAAGCTAACTTGGATTTGAGATTTGAATTAAGATTTGGATTCATTGTTGTGAAGTTTTCTTTCAAGTAACCAATACCGTAAAGCCAAAATATTCGAATTTGTCAAATAACATTGGGGTTCTTATTTGCAAGAGAGATTCAAGAAGGTTTATGAATTTGATGTCTTGAGTAAGATGCATTCCAATTTCCCGAAGTTTATTCCAAGAGTGCAAGTTCATTAATGTGAATTGTTCAAAATATTAAGAATTATTCAAGACCTTTCTCAAGAATTCAACTTCATTCATCATTCATGCATTTCAAATTCAAAGACAAATTTCGACACAAATTTTAATTGGAATCAAATTGTGTGTCAATTCGGACTGGAGACTAAATTAAGAGAGCAAGATCATTTGGCGTAGAATTTATTCAAGAATTTCACTCAAGATTCATACTTTCATTCATGAGAATCCGAGAGATTACAAAATACTTCCATTACAAAATCATCACCATTTCATATCTCATTATAAAACCATACACAAACACATGAATTCCTAAGTCCTAAAGTGCTAAAATTACATGAAATCTTTATGCTAAACCACAAAAATAATCCTGTTTCTATGCTACTATCTTGCTGCCAAATAATGCCAAAAAAACTGCTGCTGTATGCTGCTCCAAACCCTGCAAAAGAGTCCAAAAATTATGCACAAATAGCTCCTATTGCTGCTGCCCATAAACCCCTATGCAGCCCTGCATCATCTGCAAAATCAGTCTAAAACAAAGCTAAAACTGTTGTTGTCCAAAACTATTTTGCACCTTACTTCCCTTCATCTTGTTGCTCTGCACCACAATACACCCAAAAAAGAACTTACATGAAAGTGACCATAACAAATCTGCATCAAAAATCCAGAAAAAAAGATTACCATATTAGTCCAAACTCACTGGAATTTCCCCCCCAAAAGTCCCTCCAATTCCACCTCCCGTCTTCTATAAAAGCAATGGGAAAGCAGTAGAAAAAAAGGGGGAACAGACAAAAAATATACCAGAAAAAACTCCTCTTCTCTCTTTCTAAATTCATGACATCTTTTTTTTTCCACATAGAACACCAAGAACCACAAAGAAGTCTCACTTTTCCTTATTGAAGTGTCGCGATGGAAGAAACTAATTACATACCAATGAATGTGTTAGACACCGACAAATGGCTATCTGAATTAGAAATGGATGAATATAATTTATTTCCATAAGAATGCAACCTGGATTTCCTTGATGCTGATGAGAAACAAGAGTTTCTTCCACATGAAATAGCTACTGTCTTTCAAGAAAAAAAACAACATCAACATTTGGCTTCAGAGTGCACGTCCACAACTCTCACTAACTTACTCACTGATGAAACCTGTTTTGAGTCATTGAACTTTGGTTTTGGGAGACCAATCAATAATTACAATGAAAACACCACAGCTGAAACCATATCACTGAATCTGTCTCCATCATCTTCGATCTCATCTTTTCAGTATAAGATTCTTTCTTTGAAAACCTCTCAAATTCACCTGCTACCAACACCCCTTAATTTCTGAATTTGACCATGCTGAAAATTCAAAACACAATGAAACAGTGTCAGTATCTCCACTCCAGATTGAAAACACTCATGTCTTCACACAAACTCCAAAAGGGTCATCGAAAATCAATACTTGGAAACAAAAAAACCTCACAACCAAAGAGATCTCGAGCTAACAAAGAGGATCATATCATGGCTGAGAGAAAGCAAAGAGGGATACTCAGCCATAGTTTCATTTCTTTTGCTTCTCTTGTTCCTAACCTCAAAAGGATGGACAAAGCTTATGTATTAGCTAGGTCTATTAAATACGTGAAAGAGCTTAAAGATCGTTTGGAAGTTTTAGAAGAACAAGACACAAATGCAGAAGACGTAATTCGGGTTCAGAAGGAAAGTCAGAGAAAGACCAAGAACATAGTCAAGGACAATTCAACATACCAGGTTTATGACTCCATTTTACTTATTTCGACGTTATATTTGCTTCAGCTTCACTATAATCCATCACCTTTTGAAATAGGGGGGGAATGGTTATTAAGGGTTTCAATTGTTTGCCACTGCAAAAAAACGTGTTACTGTTGGTTTTGAAAGAGAAAAAAAATACAATAAAAGTGGAAAATATGTTTCTTACCTCTAAAAGCTTCACTGTAATATATGCTTCTCACCACACCCATCTCCCTCAACCTTCTCCATTCCCAAACCAGAACAACAACAACCCATTCCACCGGAAACATCATATCCCTTCATCCACCAATCGCCCTTTATCTTCTCCTCCCTGCTATCACGCCACATCATCGTATCCACCAACAGTAACCATCACTTTCATCTTCGACCCAAACTACCCTGTTCCGCTAGCTACCCTTCACGCAAACCTCCTCTGTTCAATTCTGTATCACCATTGTTCATCAACAACCCATCCCAATTTCCACTGTTTATCGTTAACTCCCCTATTCCAACAACATTAACCCGACCCGGTTTGATTGCAAGTCCATGTTTTTTTTTGTTTGTTTACTAATTAAACTGTCTTCTTTAAATTGGGCCATTGCCAATCTCCTAGCCCAACTGTTTTTTTTTATTTTATTTTATCTGTTCTCCTTAACTTGCGCTTGCCATTCCCTCTTTGAGCCCATACGAAATACAAGACGATTCCTTCCCTGTACTGCCCTACACCATAGTTCTATTCAATTTAGATTTGATTTTTTTTTCTAAGCTATATTTCATTTATTTAGGTTAGTTAGTTTTAATTAATCATATAATTTTGTTCTTAAATTAGACATTTTGTTTTATTTAGTTTAGTTTGGAGTCAACTTAATATTTTTCTTTAGAATTAATTGGTAAGTTTAGAATTTTTTTTATTAAGCTTAGTTAGTAAATTTAGAATTTTATTTAGCTTAGTTAGTAATTTTATAATTTTCATTTAGTTTAGTCAGCAAATTTTAGAATTTTAATTTAGATTTAACTTAATAACCTTAGAATTTTTGACTGTAGTTAGAGTTAATTTTATATCTCTTTATGTTTAATTATTCCTCCATCATTTCGTATTTATTATTATTCGCTTTGTCATCAATTTTGGTTTATATTTATTCCTTTATGATTTTCCTTTTATATGTTAATAAGTTTTGTGGTATTTTCAGTTTAGTTCACTTTAATTTTTATGACTTACTTTATTGTTTGTTTTGTTTAAACTCCAAGGGAAAGAATTAAATTTGTTGACTTCATGTCATCGAACATATCTCATACGATTGCGCGAACCCCTTCTTTCATTTTTTTTTGCTTGTTTACTATTTTGCTAAACTCAAGATAATTTTCCAAAAGACTCCATTTTCAAACCTACTTTTTAAGTCAAAACTTTGACATTAGGTTATCACATCTTCAAAATCTCTCCGACTCCGATTTTTAGCCAAACGAACCATTTTAATCAAACAAACAATTTTAACCAAAAACAGATATTTCAAAAGGTTCCTGCGGAGTACCGCAGATGCATTGGATGCTAATACCTTCCCATTGTATAACCAACTCCCGAACTCTCGATCTCTTTTTTAAAAAATGCATTGTATTTTCATTACTTTTAAATATTACTTTACATTGCATATTTTAGGGTTTTATTTCGCTCTTTTCCCTTTTCCCTTGGAAATAATAAAGCGCGGTGGCGACTCTTGCTTTTGTGAGTTAAGTTAATTAATAGCTTGATCTCCGATTTTCACCGCTACAGAATTGGCGACTCTGCTGGGGAAAGATTGACCTCTTGCTGGTCCATCCCTAAGTGGGTTAAGCCTAATTTGTTTTATCTGTTTTATCATTATTTGATTGTTTGATTATATGTATATATTATGATTATTTGGGTGTTGATAATATTTACAAAGGACAAGTCCTATACCCGGACTAAGTTACACTTAGGAATAGGACGGGCGGCATAGTCATGTTAACTTTGAGGGAGTAATCCCGAAGAAGGAGGCATGATATCCCCCACTCAGTGGAAGGCCCTTTTGAACGTAATATTTGTTTACCGAGTAATCGGGAAGACATTATTATTTTCGACCTGGGAGCCAGAGAAGCTGGGAACCGTAGAACCCTAACCCATCTTGGCCTTTTAGGTGTAGCGCGGAGATTATAACAGAGTAATCCGGAAGTAATTGTTACGCGATGCTACGCTCGGATGAGTTTCTCTTGAGAATATTGCTGATTATTGAGTAATCAAGACGTTGGTAATATCCGAAGGAGGAATGTAGACTCCTGGAACTTTTAGAACCTTGTTTTGCAGGTGTGGTTAAACCTTTAGTACATACCTTGGGGATGGTCTTTACCTTTGACTCCATGCTCGTGACGTTGAACCTTTCGACTTTGTTTCTGACCTTGCTTGTGGTTGTTGCCTAGCCATACCTTCATGCATCCATGAAACCCTTTTTCACTTGATTTGGAAGTCTTTCTTTGTAAACATCACAAGTTTCGTCAAGCTCAATGGATCTTGGGTGTTGATGGGGTGAAAACCTTAATCCACCAAAATGGATGATTGATCTTGATGATAATTTGATCAACGCTTCGATCCAATTTTAAATTCATCTTCTATATTCATACTTTGATGTTTACAACTTAATATCTTAATATCTTGAAAATTAAATAAAAACTCTCCTTTACATTCACATATCATGCATCATTCTTTGTTTCACTTTCAAAGGTCATTTCCAAGTCTTATTTTTCCTTTGGTCTCGCCAGTACAACACTCACGCTAAGAGAACAATGGAGAATATCAAGCAAGAGGTTTCTGAACTCCGTAGAGAGATGACTAATTTGAAAGCTAGTGTGGAGCACTTAACTGGTTTGGTCGAAATTTTGGTTGCCGCCCAAGTCAATCCTTCTAGGAGGGAGGAAGCGATGATAAAAGTCTTCACTGAAACTCTAAAATCATTCTCTCATGAGAAGGTGATGGTTAATGCACCTAATGATTTTCCTGACAAGGTGAATGTGGGAGTGCGTCTAGAAGAAGATGTCGGAAAGGGATGTTTATATGAAGATGGTAGCTCAGCTAATGGTGTGAAGAAGTTTGATAATAACTTATCCAAGAAGAGAACCAGAGGAAGAAATAATCATCATCAGAATCATCATGTTTCTCATATTCATCAACAAAATCAACAAGTTCCTAATCAGAGGAAAACCCAGTTTGATCCAATTCCAATTACCTATACAGAGTTGTTCCCTATCCTGATGCAGAAGAATTTGGTTCAGACCCGACCTCCACCGAAGGTTCCTGAGAAGATACATTGATACTACAAAGCTGATTTGACTTGTACCTTTCATCAAGGTGCTCCTGGGCATGACTTGGAGGGTTGCTTTGCTTTGAAGATTGAGGTTCAGAAGTTGGTCAGAAGTGGTATCTTGTCATTCGAGGACGTTGGTTTTGAAGTTCAAATCAAGCATGCGCCAAAGAGTAAACACGATTGATAGTGACTTTGATTTTTGAAGGATGTTTTCGGTAATTCAAGTCCAGATGGAAAGCCTTCCCAGATTATTAACTTATTTATGCTTTTTGTAATTTTTCTTGTTTATCAAAACATTGTTTGCATGTAAGAACTTGTTTGCATCTGAATGATTATCTTAATACAATGAGTATGTTTGTCTTGAAGAAATTCATTCGTTTCACTCATATTTGTTTTCAAATTTTAAATTGCTTTTGCACTATGATACCAAATTGTTGCTCAGGCAGAGATTGAAGGGAGGATGATGATCTAAAAACACAAAATCTCTGGTTGTATGCTTTTTGAATAAAATCTTGTTGACGATGTACAGGCATTGTTTCAAATCCCTAAACACTGGAGATATAAGGAAGATAATCCCTTGATAACCCCTTTTGAGCCTTGAAGTAGGAGTTTCTTTTCTATATGAAAAAACCCTCAAATTTTAACCTGGGGTAGGGTAGTTTTCAGTTAATCTGATTGAGTGTTCAAAATTTAAAAGGAAGATATTTCCGAAGAGAAACTGCGAGGGCTATCCTTCATGTTTAATGAAGCCAGAAGATGTGGAACCACAATGTTATCCCTCATTCATCAAGAAACGAGGCAGTCACAATCCTCTCAACAAGTAAATCTAATATCACACGTTTTGTTCAAAAATCAAAAATCAAGAAAAAAAAGAAAAAGCCTGCTAAGTCGAAAACTTGAAAATGTGCGGCTTAAGCAAAAATTAGGCAATCCCGCTGGACTATCAATTCAAAAGAATTAGTTCAGGCAAAAGTTAGGGAAAATAAAAACTGCAAGGAAAGGAATACAAAGAAAATTCCTCAGAAAAGAACAAATTGGTGACTACAAACACGAAGACATAAGGGTGGTTGCTACTCCGAAAACCTCGTCGTTTCCTTAACTGTCATAAAATCCTTTTGAGAGATGAACACTCATGTTGAATTAACTGAACATAGGGTTGGAGAACATCACGAAGAATGGGTGGGCACCTATAAATTTTGAGCCTTAAAAATCTTTTTTCTAAAAACCATGAACCAGGCCACGATTCAACCTTCAAAAGTCCTAATTGAAGCAAGGTTATTTTGAAAGCATACTTCAATGAGATAGTGTTCCTGACTCCCATGAATGTTCTAAATAGTTATGTTGGTATCATATGTTTTTCCTATACAAAAATAAATGGTGCTCTAACTCACAAAATTTATGCGATATCTTTTCAAAATCTTCAAGACTTACATAACTGTTGCATTAGAATTTTCATTCTCATAATAAACTTTTCTAACTGCAAAACATTTGTTTGATATCAAGGAAGCTCACATATAAGCAGCAGTGATGAGTTTATTCTTTTAAGGCTTGAAACTATGTTGAGTAATTAGAGAATCATTTCAAGAAAAAATCATATCCAGGGGCATGTCAGCTGAAGACCTTAAGCACGGACATGTTGCTTCTCCCAGTTAATGCTTTCCCAACTTCTTTACTCTTTATTGGGGCAAAATTTGAAGACTTTGTTGTGCCAACTACAGTTAATCCGGGGCAATCACGTCGAGATTCGATGAATCTCTCTAAGAGTTTGAAGACACCAGAGCATGGTGAATGCCAGGTCTTTTGTAAAATCCTCTTGAGACGATTTCTCCTCAT